TTTGGGTTTAGGGTCTTGGGCTTTGGGTAGGAGGCCTTCGGTTTACTTGTGGCAGGGCAGCTATGTTCGTACACTTAACGACAGTAGAGGCGGGAAGAATATGCAGTAACGGCGAAAGCACCAGCAGTAAGAATACCAGGTAGTAGTTACAAGCGGTAGCAGCAAGAAAATGCACAAGGCTCGGTACGGCTGATGTTTGGTGCCGTAAGGCTGAACTTCGGTGCTCTGCAGCAGCTTTCGAAGGGCTGAAGAAGATTTCAGAAGTGGAGACCCTAAACCCTAAACCCTAAAACCCCAAAACCCTCAACCCTAAACCCTAAACCCCTAAACCCTAAACCGTTCCTAAACCTATCAATGCTTCACCTTCTGTTCCCACGCTTCCCAGGAACTTCCGGGCTTTCGGGTTGCGGTTTGGAGCTGTGGAGTCCATTTAGTGCTGCAGAGTTCTTGGCCTTAGGGCCTTAGGACCTTAGGGCTTAGGGTTTAGGCTTAGGGCTTAGGGCTTAGAGCTTGAGGGTTTGGGGTTTGGGTTTAGGGTTTAGGGCTTGAGGGCTTTCCAGACTTGAGAGTTTAGGTCAGTTTAGGTCTTCGTTCGCCCCTCCCGCTCATTGCATCGCTAGCCCCCGAGACTCTTTGCTCCCAACCCTTCCCCCAACCGCTGAATCCCAAAAACCAAAAGACGAATAGACTTAAAGCCAAAAGCCTAGACCCAAAGCTTGCCCGCAAAGCCCTAAACCCGACCCTCAACCCAACAGCCTCAACCCAAAAGCCCCAAAGCCACCCCAAACCCCCGCCGTCCCCTGAGGCTTTGGCACGAGAAGATGTATAACCTTCGGCCTCAGCTTCTGGCTCTGAGGCGACCGAAAACAAGCGGCGCGGCACTGTGGCCGTAAAGCGGCTGTGGATGTTACGAGGCTGGTTAATGGGTTTAGGGTTTAAGGTTTAGGGTTTAGGGTTTAGGGTTTAGGGTTTAGGGTTTAGGGTTTAGGGTTTGGTTTTACTGAGTCTTGGAACTAGGGTCCCTCTGCAAGGGGATTTCATAAAGCCTGTTGACTAGTTCCTTCCCTAAAGCGCATTTAACTACTGATGGCGCAAGACGAATTAGGGTTTGGGTTCGTCGGCAGCGATGGGAAAAATGCAAGAACAATGGAGATGGCATGACTTTTCCGTACCACGTTCATCCAAATCCAGAAACCGCCACTTTTCGTTTTGCAACCACATTCAATATGCCCTAAACAACATTGATGCAACGCCACTAGCCCGATAACAAAACAATAAGATGCCACGCCTTGAACCCTAAACCCTAAACCCTAAACCCTAAACCCTAAACCCCTAAACCCTAAACCCTAAACCCTAAACCCGGTGCAGGTACCCCCCTGTACTCCTTCAACTTCATTCGTCAAGCAGGAGTCTCCAAGCTTTCAACCTACAGCCCAACCTCTGAATCGCTTTTGGGATTTCGGGCGTCGCGTCTAGGTTTAGGGTTTAGGGTTTAGGGTTTAGGGTTTAGGGTTTAGGGTTTAGGGTTTAGGGTTCAGGGCTTAGGGTTTAGGGCTAGAGTGACAAACCGGGGTTCGGGCGCACTACGACCTGAAGTATCGATCCAGGTGGAGCCTTGAGCTTAAACGCTATGTACCTCTTTGACCACTTTTTTAACCATCCCAAAGCCGCCAAACCCAGATACCTCAAAACACCCGACCAAACATCAATGGGACTTAGTCCACATCTGGGATCAAAAGGACTGAAGGCGTCAGTACTGTCCCCAAAACAGATGCGACTATAATACAAGCTCTATACAGAACCTCTGCAAAGAAGCACGGCCCCTCCGTGAGTGGGAATCAAAACACCCAAACCCCAACATACCTAAGCCCTTGACCATAAGTGGGCTGTCGTAGAGGCACGGCTCCCTAAATAACCCATCAGCACGCTACTACACCAACCCCAGAAATCGCCATAACCACGAACAGCATATCGTCCCAACACTCGGACACTTCATCCCTGAGCCCCAAAACCCCAACTCTCGAAACCCAGACCCCAAACCGAAATCAAAACAAACACAGGTAGGGGCCTTAATAATTAGAATAAAGTTAATATTAGGAAGCCTCATAGCAAGCCCGCCCCAAGGTTAGGTTCCTGGCATCTCTCTGGAGAACCAAGCGTTCTCTTTCCAGAAGGGAACCTGGTTCAGACCATGGGGGAAAGGGGTTTAGGGCTTAGGGTGTTGACCTCTTTCTCGTTGTTAGGGCCTGCGCTGATTTCCCAGGTCTTGGCTTCCTTTTGGGTGAGAGTTTTAAGGTACAGGCTGTAGAGTACAGGGCTTCGGGACCCCGGGATTGTGATTTCATGTAAACGCCGAACACCACTGACTCCCATATACCTACTCCCTTACGGATTCGGACCGCAAGGTACGGAATGTTTCCTGACGGGGTTCTCTTGGCAGGGCCTTCTAAGGTTCGGGCCTGGGGATTGTGTAGGGTATCGGATTTAAGGTTTAGGGTTTAGGATTTAGGGTTTAGGGTATCGGGTTTGGGTTTTTTGCATTTTTGTTGTTTACACAGTTGCCTTCACTGCGTGTTGTGTAAGCCCTGTAACATCCTAACACCCTGAACCGCAAACGTCCAACTTCAAATTCGCACCAAGTCGTCAGGGTATATGAAAACTATATGAAACATCGAGTTCGCCATGATCAAGATAAGCGTTCTAAGATCATAAGACCCATAGAACCTCTCCAAACCTTGCCAGGACATCGAAGTCACCCTTCACACAACCCTCCCAGAGCCCCCAAACCCTGGGCAATCCACCGACAAAACACTCACAAGACCCCTAAACCCCAAACCCTAAACCCTTAATCCTAAACCCTAAACCCTAAACCCCAAACCCTAAACCCTAAACCCTAGACTCTAAACCCCAAACCCCAAACCCTCGGCTTGGCCCCGAATCTACTCAAACTCCCTCCCCTGAGGCAGCGACTAACTTTTTCAGCAGGTACGTCGCCACCTGCGACCTCTCATGACCAGGTTGCGTCTCAAGGGTCCTAAAATCCTGAACCCTCCTCAGGGCTTCTTTCTAAGACTTCTTTGAAAAGGCCACTGCAAGGGATGCGATTTAAGTGGGGGACAGGTAGTTTTGCAGTATTCATTTCGGTAATTGCAAGGTGGTTTGCATACGTGGGTCCAGGGGCTTGGGGGTACTCGAGGATTTGAGATGCGAGAGTTTGGGAGTAGCATGGCTGAGTTTTGTCCGACTCATTTTTGTAAAGACTCAGCTGTTCAGTTCGAGAAGCCTGACCAACTCAGCTGCTAAGACCAGCTACATACGAGAACTGGAAGGTTGTACAGGGCTTAGGGTGTTTTCTGCCTGGATCAATGCGCTTGGCTGGTACGGTTCTAGCTGGGGTGAAAAGTCTCCTCATGTGGGCTAGCGGCTAGCGTATGAAGGAGCACGCTTGCTCCAAACTCTAAAAGCTACCCCGAATGGAAAGCTTTCGAAAACAGACTGCACCGCACACAAAGGTGCCTTAGAGGTGCCGCTGTAAGAATCGTGTACTGTCGTCAGGTACTGCCTCCAACCTCCCTTGTCGGAGCATTACAACCAACCCTCCCAACCCTGCACACCCTAACCGGGTACACAAAATCGAATAGAACAGAAAGTTCCTGGTTCCCCTGTTCCTTCAAATATGGCGAAATTGTAGCAGCCATCCCTCATATTTACAAAGTAGTCGTTCATGAGGGATATTGGAATCTCAGAGCTAAACCCTCTACACGAAAAAACATCATGATTCCAAAACCCTGCAACCCTAAGCCCTGTACATTGAAATCCCAAATCTTGCAGCATGTACCCTGAACCCTAAACTCCTACGACCCCCAAACCCTATGAGACCCGAACACTGTGCTGGTGCACTCTAAGCCCTAACCTTAAGCCCAAGCATCGATGATCCAGACGCCCAAACAAGTCCAGGCCTGTTCTCACTACCTGAGCTTCAAGAAAACAATTGCGCCGTCAGGACCCCTCTGTAGGGTCTCGCGGCTTCACACCCCTATACTACTCGGGGGCCCGCGCTTAAGTCAGCGTGAATGCTTTCACATTTTCTTCGGGATGTCTACAGGCTTGCGGGCCCTTGAACCCTAAACCAAACCCTAACCGCAGAACGTTGTATAAGATAATCTCTGGGGCCTTTTGGGTGGCGTGTGGCTTAAGGTGTCTAGGGCTTTGGGTTTGGGGCTGGGCATGTGGCATTCAGGTGGTCACAGCACTGCAAAGAAACCGGGACCCCTGAATCCGCACAATCTCCGAAAGAAGGTAAATTTAGAGAGAGAGAAATCTGCAAGCCCCGTAGGAGCCCTACCACAGCCTAATTGTGACACCCTTACAGTTTCAAAGAACACAAGGAACGAGTATAGCGACATTTCGGACCTAGTACTTCCTTACCAGAACCTGCTTCTGGAAGGATTGGCCCAACCTATGTCGTCTGAACCCAAAAACCATCTCCGCAAACCTGACAATCGAAACCCATTACAGTTCGGGTTTAAGGATTGAGAATTTAGGGCCAAAACCCTGAACCCTTACAGACCAAGGAGCTTTTCACACAGGCGCCAAAGAGGGTGTAGAGATGCGGCGCGAAAGCCTTCTCGAACTTTCGGACCTCAAGCAGACGGCACCCAGAGAGCTCAAAGGAGAGATGTCGGGTTTAGGCCCTGAATATATTCAGGACCTCGGACTCAGTTGAGAAAGGGTTTACAGCTCCACTGCCCCAGCACGGCTCGGGGCGTTGGGCTTTCAAGGAGGGGCCAGACTTTCCGCGGCCTTCGCTGCTGCGTCCGGGAAGAGAAACCGAACGAATCAAGAGGCCCTTTAGTCTTGTCTGCAATCTTTAGGGTTTAGGGTTTAGGGTTTAGGGTTTAGGGTTTAGGGTTTAGGGTTTAGGATTTAGGGTATGCAGGAGTCATCCAAGCATTCTGAACACATCGTGACGGTAGACCCAGAAACTCTACTCGGGTTGCGCAGGCCCTAAACTAAACCTTGAACCCTCAAGTATAGTCCTAAATCCCAATCGCACTACATCACGTCAAAACGATTTCCGAAACCTTCCAAAAGCCAACCATAATTGAACTCTGTAGCAAACCTCAAGGCTACAACCTTAACTGTAAACACTAAACCATGCATAGGTTGTAAACTAAGTACTGCGGATTCATAACACTACTGGGAAACGGGCGGCACTAACATCTTCCTTCTCTGCATGGCGCATGATCGAGTCGATCACGAGTAGAAGATTCTCCTGGCGAAGCTTGGCATTAACGCCTCCAGGATTTAGGGCTTAAAGCTTGGAGTTTTGAGCTTGTGTCTTAAGATTTGGGGTTTGGGCTCAACATTTAGGATCTATTTTTTTACGTTTTGGGTTCACCCTGGCCTGACGCCGAAACGCTTAGACAAAATCCATACTCCTTATGTAAGGCAAAGCAAATATGTATGGCGTGTTACTGACAATCAGTACTTCATGTACACACTGAACCACGTACACGCTAGAGGGCCCACAACGAGTGGCAGACCGCCATCAAACCCTGCTACTACCTTTCAGAAATGGTGTCGGTGGTGGCGACGATAGAGGCAAAAGCTCTTTATGAGTGTCCCTTCAAGGTTGATGGCTGACGATGCGACTTTTGATGGTCGATGATGGATACGGATGTTAATGACAACGGTTGACGTTGATCCTTGCTGTGATACTGGTCGTCTTGATAATGTCTTCCAGGATGTGGATCCCTCGGATTCTAATGGTGTGGGGGATTCCCTCCACAGTGATCCTGACGATGATGACGATGGTACTGCTTTGCTGCCTCTCGCCATCAGTACTATCACCATCATGACTATGATTGCATTTTGATCATCTATATGCTTATTGCTACTGCGCGCCTTGATGGCCATGGGGTCATCACAAACGTCCACCAACCGTGAGACGAAGCCCTTCACCTCGATGCCTCGGGCGGATTCAGGTGCATTTTTCTCTGTTGAAGGCATTGGATTAGGGCTTATACTTGCGAGGGAAAGTGGTTATGGGGTTTGAGGATGTTCGGTTGGGTGTCAGCTTCACGACTGAGGGTATGGGGCGAGGATTTAGGGTTTACGGCGATTATCATTTCGGACGTCCAGGGTTGAGGGTTGGAGCATGCTGCGTAAGGCTTTGCTTTGATTTTGGGTGAAGGCTTCGAACTCCAACTGATATTGCTTGTTTGCTGTTGCTCTTGAGTCCTTTGACTACTAATTATGCTATAACGACGACGCCAGGAGCGGCTACTGTAGCTGCTGTTCCTGCTACCACGACTTCTGAGAATGTTATTCCATTTCAGCGTAAGCACTTTGCGCAATGGTGACACTGATGGCATGTAGAAGCTGTGAAAGGGTGCTGTACAACAGGGTCACTAATATTCGTTTTCAGCTAATCACTGTAAAGTTTTTTTTGGCAAGCACGGCACCCAATCCCGAAGGCCGAACCGTAGACCTCGAATGCTACATCCTACCAGCTTCAACCCTAAACCCACAATTCTCAAAACACTGACGCCTTGAACCCGAAAACCCCGACATGCTTGCACCCCGACCTATGGTTTTAGCTTGGGGTTCACTCCAGAGACTCACAAAGCCCATATTGGAGGTATACAACGATCCGCAATGATGTACCCCGAGCTGAGTCATGCTGGACACGAAGCCCAAAGCCTGGCAACACCCTTTGCAAAGCCGCGTCTGCGACTTCAAGCCGAGTGTTGGGAACCTTGAACCAGGGTCCGAGTTGGGTGTTTTGCACCTGAGGAATTCACAATTTAGGGTTTGGGGTTTAAGGTTTGGGTCTTAGGGCTTTTACGCTTTCGGACGGGTCCACGGTTTAGGGTTTTGGCTAATGTCTGAAGCATTGAACTCAAGCTTAATATTAAGCCAGAAGCCCTCAGCTCACCCGAAAAAGGGGCTCCCGCCGCTGCTGTGTCGACTGACTGCGATCCTTGCCGCATGGTGCACCTTCCCGTTTTAGGGTTCAAGGTTTCAGGTTGAAGCACTTGAAAGTTCACGAGTTGTCGTAAGCGTTTTGCATTTGGGGTTCAAAGAAGTTATACCGGGAAAAGCTTGGGGTGTGGGCTCGGGGCTGCCGCAAAGAAGCTTTGCAGCATTCCGGATTTTCCGAAGCAACAACATCCAGATGTGAAGCAAAATGCTTGAAAACCTTCTCCCCACACCTTAGAAAACCTTAAACCCCACCACGGTGAGCCTTTTATCTTGGCGAGGCGCGCTTTTGAGTGCCGTGAGACTGTGCAAGCCTACAGAATTTCGAAGCTTCCTATGTCCCGCCGTGATAAGGCTCGGGGGCGTTTCAGGGCTTTGAAGTTTAGGGTCTCGAACTTCGTGTTCAAGGCCTTTGGGCAAAGGGTTAAAGGCTTAAAGGTCATGGCTTCGGGGCTTTTCAGGATTCCAGGCTGTCGAATTCATGTTTGAAGCACTTGAAGGATCATGGGTAATTAGCTGTTGCCCCAAATCCTACGCCCCAAACCCTGCACTGTATCTAGCTACTCCTCCAAGCCATGAAGCCATCCTTTGTATGTACATACATATCTGTATATATATATACACACATATGCTACCCCCCCATGCACCCACCGTTTCTGCTAGTTTTCTGCTCTCTGCAATGAAACATGCATGTTTTTCAAAGAAGAACTGAACACAAAAATGACTGTGAACCCCCCCCGACGCATGACTTTCAAGACAAAGCCGTGCTGCTTCTTTATCAAGCAGCCGCCATGGCACACAACTCCACCCAGTTTCTGTCCAGCCTCTCTGATGTGCGATATCATACATGTAATAAAGCAAGATACAGGTCACACAGCATGATGTGATCAAATAAGTGCAGTCAAGTAACCGGGCCCAACAAGCCTGCTTTTAAGCTGTTGCAATACACTCATGCCTGATACTCATGATGCATGCAGAATTGCATGCGGTCGCCAATTTTACTCGAGTGACGGTTCATCTAGCCAGCATGTAACGATATCTTCGGCGGCCAGCTCCATGTCGCCATTCGGCATGGTGATGCATGCAGAAAGCAATCGCACGCGATCACCGTTCTTACCCGAGTGACGATTAACCTAGCCAGTATGAAAAGATATCTTCGGCGGTCAGCTCCATGTCGCCTTTCGGCGTGGACTTGTAGAAGATATCCTCGTACCGATAAACCACATGACCTGATGAATGGGACCATGTTCAGTAAACATACAATAAACATTTAAAACTCAAAATACCTACTGTTGTGGTTTGGCGGGCGGCCGTTCGGGAGGGTGCCAACGTGCACTTCCCACTTAGTGAGTGCGGCTGGGATCGGCCCGAACAATCGCTCACCAGACTCAAAAATGAGTGCTGCAACATCCATAGGCAGCTTGCGAACGATGGGCGCTCTCTATCTCTCTATCTGTCTGCTTCTCTATCTCTCTACCTCTCTATTTCTCTATCTCAATATCAGTATCTCTGCCTCCATCTCTCTCCACATATCAATGTCTATCTGTAGATCTATATCTGTATCTTTATCTATATCTATATTCATATCGTGCTGTTTTATGTGACAACATAGTATACTATGTTACATTGTTATACTATACTGTATGTATTATACCATATGATGCTATGTAATGTTATACAATGCTAGATTACAGCATGTTCTTCGGCATTCTATTAAACCATATTGCACTCTATTCTACTCTATTCTACGTATTCTATTATGTTTTATTCTATCCTGACCTACCCTATGTTCTATTCTGCTATTGTCTATAGTATACACACATGTATGCACATATATATATATATATATATATAGATATACATATAAACCCTTGTAAAAATCAAGGCTTAAAGGCTTAGGGCAGGCCATGCGATCAGTTCAGCGAGCCAGTCTCGAATCGGAAGCCATCTCCACCTGAGCGAAACTGAGTCAAAAGCGCTGAGTGGGCGGTTTAGGGTTTAGGGTTTAGGGAAGTTTTTCTCTGTGAAACTTGAGCTTGGGCGTGGCCCTCGGGTTTAAGGTTTCGGGACCTAGGCCCCAAACCCTAAACTCCCTACAATTTTCCGTAAGCCCTGAACCACCAGCTTCCTAAGCCCTAAACGTCTTAAGCCCTAAACTCCTAAACTCCGTCAACCTTTGGCCCTGTAAACCCTGAACCCCCTAGACCCTACCGAAATCCTAAACTTCACAACAATTCATGCTCAAGCACTTCGCCGTGGCCAATCATTGAGGGGAGTTCCAGATTCGAGTGCCCACGTAGTCTTTCTCCGAAAGCCCTGAAGGCTAAACTCCCTAAAGCCTAAACCGAGACTCCCGAAGCCCTAAACTCCCTAAACTCCCTGAGCCCTAGGCCCTAAACCCCCCAAGTGCTAACCAGAACCAACAGCGGCCTGTGGTGCAAGCCAGCGGAACCCAGCCAGAACCAAGCGGAGAAATTTCGAAAAGAATTCCAGCTCCGCCACCGCCACGAGTCATATCTAGCGAGACCTAGAAAGCATAGGACCAGCCTTACGAGATCCACTCAAAAAATCTAAGCGCCTGGATAGCGGAGATAGCAGGAGGCAGAGCCCAGCAAATACAACAGTTGACAAGCTGGCAAAACCCCTAAACTAAACCCGATAAGGTTGGGACGTGGGTGGTGAGGGGTGGGGTGATCCTTGAATGCCAGGCGCGCCGCTTTGGGTCAAGAAGTGCCGGCTCTTGGAAAACCCTACATCCTAAACTCGATGAGCCAAACCCTAAACCCTAACTCCCTCAGCCCCTCAGGCAGACTCCCTAAACTGCAAACCCCAAACCCTGAAGTAGCTAAACCCTGAGCCTTCAACCCTAAACCCTTGAACTCCCGAAGCCCTGAGCCGTAAACCCTAAAGTCTACAGGCTGCGGGGCCTCAGAGTCTAAATCCTAAACCCCAAACTCCCTAAATCCTAAAACCTAACCTCCCGAAGCCCTACAGTCCTTAAGCTCCAAAGACTCCTTTAACTCCCAAATTACGGGAAAGGAATCCACGAATTCTGGGAATGTGGGACATCTGCTAATGGTACGAAGCTGGAAACCCAGCTTAGTCTGGCCTGCACAGACATTTGTTTGCATGCATTGGGCTCTGAAGACTCCCAGACATGTTTGCTTTAGCTTTTAGGGTCAGGGTTAGGGTCGGGGTGTAGGGCGGGGTCTCATAAGCTTTCAATCTGTTTCCAAGGCTTCATACCTTGACTGGGGGGTTTCTTCTTCTTCTTCTTGGAGGTCCCTTCTTTTGAAATGGTCTATGCTGCTCCTTCGGGCTAATCATAAATAAGCTTCTGCACGGAGATGAAGATTAGCATCATTCGGCATCTCCATCTTCATATCTGGAGCAATACTCAATCAAGGTATGTCGGAGTCTTCAGAAACCCCTAAACCCTAAACCCTAAACCTTGAACCCTAAACCCTAAACCATGAACCCTTCCTTGGGAAGCCGGGCCACGTCGAGGACAAGCATCTTCTTTCGGTGGGAACAGGGCCGCTCCGGGGAGGCCGAAAAAAATTGCAAAATCTTGGGGCCTTAATCAATTCGAAGAGGGTTTTGGGGTTCCTTTTAAGGGGTTCCTTAAAGGGTTCTATACGGGCTACTATAAGGGTTTAGGGTTCAGGGGCCTTAGTAATTAGAATAGGGTTTTGGGGCCCATTATACTATAATGGTAATAAGGACCCCCCCAACATAGTATAGGTAATTATTCAGGCCCCTGTATTAGACCTTGATTCGCGGCGTACTGCAAGCAGCCAAGACCTAAACGCTAACCCCTACATCCCAGCCTAAGCCCTAAGCCCGAGGCCCGAAGCCTTCGACCTTTAGGGTTTAGGGTTTAGGGTTTAGAGTTTAGGGTTTAGGGTTTAGGGTTTAGGGTTTAGGGTTTAGGGCTAAAACCCTCCAGGTTCGAGCTGTACCAAGGGCCCCGACACTTGCGCGGGAA